ATTTTTTTTATTTTATGTGCATTGGTGTTTTGCCTGTATATATGCCTATATGAGGGTGTCATAGCTCCTGGAACCAGAGTTTCAGACAGTTATGAGCTGCCATGGGTTCTGGGAATTGAACCTGGTTCCTCTGGAAGAACAATCAGTGCTCTTAATTGCTGAGCCATCTCCCCAACACTTTCCTTTATTCCTTTATTCTCAAGAATATAATATGTCTTTGTGCCTCTGATGCACAGTATTTAATTTGACCAAACACTTTCTGCATGGCCTTAAACTGACAATAGATCAAAACAAATCACATATTTATTATATTTTGAATATTTCATGTATGTATACAGTATATCTTGATAATATCCACCCCACTCTCCTTTCCAACACCCTCAGGCCTCCTCAATACATCTCTCCTCCAACTTCATGCTCACCCCCTTTTTTTCCTTAATAATCCAAAACCTGATTAGCATTGTTTGTTTGTGCATGTTTATGGTGCCAATCTGCTGGGTCAAACCAGCCTGCCAGTGGCCCACCCATAAGGGAAAGTGAATTCTCTGCACACTTCAGCAGCCATTAACTGCCAAGCTTTTCAACAAAGAATGGGGCTTTTCGAGTTCCTCCTCTGTCCATGCTGAGCTGTTGACTGCATTGATCAGGTAATCAGAGCTATAGTGAATCAGGGTATGCTAGAGCAATGTCACTCCTCCGCATCCCATCCTCTGGGTCTTAGCTCTTTTGTAGAAAAGAGGTTTGACCCCATGAAAGGACTGCAAACTCAAGGTAGACTCATTGTCTCTCTCATTGTCCTTACTTTTACTTTAAAAGTTAAATAAGAGTATAAATGTGAGGTTGAGAGGAGTATTTAGTAATTATCTTAGCTTGTTTGGGCTACTGTAACAAATTTCAAAGACAGCGTACTTACAAACAAAAGACATTTATTTCTCATAGTCTTGATTCTTGGAAGTTCAGGAACAACCAGGGGCAGATTCAGTGTCCTGTGCTGATCTTTCTGGTTCATAGATGGCTTCTGGCTGTGTCTTCATGTAGTGAGAAGAACTCAAGAGCTTCCATGGGTCCATTTTACAGGGTACTAATGTTATCTCTTTAAAATCCTCATGATCTATCTAATCATTATCTAATAGTTCTCTAATATCATTGCAGTAAGGATTAGGTTTCATGTAAGTTTTGGGTGGCTGCAACTTTTAGATTATAGAATTTAGAAGATAGCAGTGCTCACACTACTCAGTATGCACTCAGTGTTGTTGACCCACTGTGTATTCAGCTGGATTCACTTGAAACTTTTTTCTCCTAAATTCCTGAAATTGCTCACACATGAGAAAGTGTGTGCATTTGAGTTACTGTATTAATAAGTGAACCAGGTACTTATTCAAATTTGAACTGGTGAGTTACATAATTGGAAATATGTCATTTATTACACAATTAGTACATTGTTCTAGATCTCACTGACTGGTGTAGATGGGCACCTGTAATGTTCTTATGTGCCCAGTGGGTTATTGCTGGCCAATAATTACTTTAATGACTTTTTTATATGTATGTAGTATAGTCCAATAATCAGTTACATGCTTTTATAAAATTAAAAACTATATTTTGTCAAAGATCTTCATGAAAAATGAAGGGAATGTATGAAAATATTTCTCTGAGAAACACTTGATATTAACATTGAAAAAAATTGCATTCAAAGCCAGGCATGGTATTATCTGCACTCCCAGCACTAAGGAAGTAAAGGAGGAAGAGCAAGAATTCAAGTCCAGCTATTACCTGGGTATGATGTTTGAGGTCAGCCTGAACTATATGAGACTCTAATCTTAAAAAACCAAATAAAGAACAAGAAATCAACATTAAAAATTATTAGGTCTGTTTTGCTTTCTTGCAATGCATGGAATTAAACTTGAGGCTTTATGGTAAGCAGGTACTTGCCACTGAACCATACTCCAGCATATTGACTTTCTTTACTAGGCTTTCCCTCACTTAACGTATAACTTATACATAATACTCTATTGCAGTATTTAGTGTTCCTGGAGAACTTTTGTGTTGAAGGTTTGTTCCCCAATGCAGCCTTGTTTTGAGGTAGGGCACTTGGAGGTGATTGGAGCATGAAAGCCCTGACTTAAGGAATGGTTCTGTTCTGTTCCTCTGTTGGAAAAAGGAGGCCACTGTTTAGATTCTCTTATGGGTCTATTTTGTACCCTGCTCTGTCCTTTCCTCTCTTGATTTCTGTTTTATGGTCACCATGAAGTGAGCAGGCTTGTTCTACCATATTCTCTTTGCCATAATGTTTTGCCTCAACACAGGCCAAGGAACAACAGCCAAGCAACCATGGACTGAACTGTGGGTCCCCCCAAAATATTTCAAGTTGTCTGTCACAGTGATGGAGAGCTGACTGACATATATTTAGTTTAGGCTGTGAACTTGTTAGTGGGGTCAATATTTATGAAATTTTATCATTTGCATTGTGTATTAGATACTTTTCCTGTTGCTATGACAAAATACCAGACAAGAAAGCAACTTCGAGAAAGAAGGTTTATTTTTGCCCGTAGTTTGAGGAACAGTTCATTGTGGTGGGAAGTTATGGCAGCAGGAACTTTAAGCAGATCCCTAGCCCATGGAATGGTGCTGCTCATGTTCCTGGTGCGTCTTTTTTTCCTCAGTGAACCCAGTCTAGATAATCCCTCTCAAGTATGCCCAGAGCCTTCTCTTCTAGGGGATGCTAGGTCCTGTCAAGTTGTAAATCAGTATTGACCATCCCACATTTCAGTCTTTCAGAGAGACCAACAGCAATGACCAGGCTCTCTCTACTCCAGTCTTTGTTTGTTTTGATTTTGAGTGTGCCATTTTGTGTTCATTCTCTTTGAGAACAAAGCAATGTCTAGAATGATAGGAACCATGAGACACTTAGTCTTAAGAGCACAGATGGAAACGTAAACCGAAAACCAGTGGGGAGTTAATTGTGTGGCATCTGGCACTGAGGGACAGCAGAGGCAAACAAGGCATCTTACTGCTGCTTTTTGACAAGATGGGGCTGCTCCCTGGAGACAAAGGTGGAAAATAAGAGTCCTTCATTCTTATGTCCTCCATGAAAGATTTGTTGTTAGCAACCACTAATGGTAGAAGGGACTGCAATTACCCCACACTTCTGGGACATAAATAAAATGTAACAGCTCTCTTTATCTCCAGATACTACATAAAATGGATTTTCCATTGTTACTTTAAAACAGGGCATTTGAGTCTTTTAATACTCCCACACAGAAAGTTATATATATTCATATTCTAGTCTTAGCAATGCTACCACCAACTTTCTATCATTCTGACATCCTAAGTTTTATCATTGTCATCTTGTCTATGGAGGAGACTTATAGCTCCTATGAAAGGTGTGAAGAAATGACAGCAGATGTTTAATTCCCATTCACTAAAAAACACAAAAACTGAAGAAAAAAATCCACTGATATATTTAAGAGAAACAGAGACCTACTACAATTGTGAGATTGAAACTAAAAAAGTCTTATACCCTTGCTAACACACATCAAGCACATACAGCATACAAGAAGCACAGATTCCTGAAAGCAAAACTTGGGCACTCCACGAGATTGTTCTAAACCAAAGTGTTTTGTGACAGGTGTGTATGGCTGTCTTGGGTGCCAGCATGTGCTGTTAGGGATAGGTAGCTGGGAATTGGGAGGCATGGAATTTGCTGGGTCAGACTTTGTAGTCCACATGTCAGCTGTAGTTCAAAATGAGGGAAAACACTGACAAAACAATGTGTCTTTGGTCCTGAAGTTTGAGTGATGGGTTGATTTATGTGGAGGCAAAACTTGTTGCCAATGGAAAGAAAAGCAATCATGATGCTCAAACAATGTTTTGTGTAAGGCACCAAAGGATACTTAGTCTCAGAATTTAATGTTTTTCTATTTTTTTCCAGAGTGGAAGATAACATTCTTTGGGAAATACAAGGTTTGGATTCTAATTCCAGTATTGTTATATAATTATATGGTTCTGAAAATATGATACAATATTAGTTACTGGGCTTTTTGTGCACAAAATGAGCAGAATAAATTCCATCAACATTGGGACTCTTTGCACAGACTTGCATTGTCACAGTGGGCACCAATGTCTAGAAAAAGGCCTTGGCGCCTCTATAGGGTTGTCTCAGGAGAATGTGGATAGGGCTCCTCAATCATTTTAAAGGAGAAAGCTATCTCCAGACACCGATGAGATTCGTCACCAAGCAGGCAATATACATTTACACATGGTCAACTTTGTTTGGGATATTCATAAAACATAGAGTCTTATAGATCTAATGTTTTTTTTTATTAATCAGATTCATTATGGTATTTGACCCTTCAAAAATACTCATTTGATAGAGGCTGGGACAGATCAGTGGTAGAGAGCAGTTGCCTAGTAAGGTCAAGGTTTGATCCTTACCACCACTGAAAACAAAACAAAACAAAACAAAACAAAACAAAACAAAACAAAACAAAATAAAAACACAAACACAAATTCACTTTAAGTAGTATTGTAATCCTTAGGCAGTCCTGATGAGACCTGATAGGCTATGGCCAGATAGGAGGGGAGGAGGACCCTATCAGTGGACTGGGGAAAAGACATAGTCAGGGAAGAGGGAGGAACGGTGGGACTGGGAGGAGATGAGGGAGGGGGCTACAGCCAGGATACAAAGTCAATAAATTGTAGCAAATAATAATAAAGAAAAATTAAAACAGTAGTATTGGAATCCTTATGATCATCAATCCCTGATACCTGAACTGACATCATCTTTTAGAAAACTATTATCTTTTGCACTAACAGTTTTACAAGTAAAACTTTGTTGAGTTGGTGAATAATAACTCTCCAATGTCAACAAACTTAGTAGTTGCATGCTTATGAGTTGAAAATTAAACAAAGGAAGATAAATTCCTTTCTGCCTCTGTAACCTGTGGCTTGCTACGTTACCAAACAGTGAATCCTGGGCAAAGTGAATTAAGAATGACTAATACCTTCGATGGCAAATGGCTTCCCCACAGTCAGAAGCTTGCAGTCGGCATCTATTGACACTTCATAATCCAAAAGGGCTTTGTCCATGATGAAGGCATCTAGTTTCTCTGGATCATTCCTATGTTTAAAACCAAGGGAAGAAAAACAAAAGTGGTTCATCACTGGGCAGGAAGCAGTAGTCTGGCAGTTGGCTTTGTTTAGGGGACAGAAACTTGGATACCAAGGACAGCACAAATTTGCCAGCTGCTACCCCTTGTTGGCATCCTGTTGGCTTGTAGAGTAGATGCCAGAGAAATTTGCTTTCTTTTTAGAGTTCACAAGCTCTCTTCCATGGGTTTATCTACTAACCTCATTCCTAACTGCTAAATCCAACATCAAAGCCAGATGTAACTCTCTACTTAATAGGAGGGTCCACAGACGAGGCTGATTTCTATTATATTATCAAGTAACTTGTCTTAGTACTGCATTCAGTATCCTACATACATTTAATTATTTGTAAGGACTGTGAAACAAATAACCATAGAAACAAGGCTCATAGAACTGAAGTATTTTGGTGTAGGCCACACACCTGGTTAAGTGTTAGAGACAAGCGTTCTGTGAATCAGATATTGAAACTTCATTTCTTTCTGTCAAGATCACCATTTTTGTTATTCATAATTTCAGCCTAATTTTTGTATTTAGGAATAGGTGTTAAGAAGATACTTAGAAAAGATGTAGTGTTCTTGGTGAAAAGGAATTTGTGGGCTCTTTAAGTTCATGGTATAACACTCAATAAACTGAAGGCGAAACTTAGGTAACAGATCTTAGTGGTCCAATTTAATCTATCTCCAGAGAGTCCCATTTCTTTCCACTGCGTAGGTAGATCAGAATAATTTAAGTTAGATCTACTAGGCTTGTATTTGTGAATTGTCAATTGTTTTAGGTTACCATCAAATGTCTTGGGTGTCCTTCATGAGAGTCCTCTAGTATTTGGAACTTAGGTTGTAGACATGGTCCAGTGGAAAGCTATGTTTAATCATAGGCTGGTTAACCCTTACAGGGAACGTAGAGTTTGGAAGGAAGACAGCTAGGTGCCTTTTTTGTTTTTTTAGCCGACCAAAATTTCTTTCAGAGAAGTATAGAATATATACATTGAAGACTCTTTTCTCTTTTTATTAGTGTATACTAATTATAAAGAGTAATTGGTTTTATTGTGAAATTTCTTTTCTTCATCCTCTCTTCCTCATAACTTCTCTACTTCCTTCCTTTTTTTCTTCTTTCCTTCCCTTTCTTACCCCCCTCTCTTCCATTCTCACCATATATTCTAGGGTGACTTCACTACTTCTTCTGTATCCATCTCATGGTTAGTCGAGACGAGCTATCACTTTTATTCATTCCAATATTTTCATGCATGCATGTAATAGTTTGATCGTATCCTCTCTCTCTTGCCCTTTCCTGTTCTCTCTCCACAGTCTACTTTTCTTCTTAGACACCATCTTTTTACTAATGATCATATCCTCCATCTCTCATCCTTCCCGCTTTTTCTTTTTCAACTTATTCCCCCTTAAATAATTTCTCTTTAGTAACAAAAACTTTTTTTTACCATTAGAATTGTCATAGTAGCTTTGTAAGACAATGCCTCTTTATTTAATGTGGCCTCTGTCCTTCCACTATTAAAACCAGAGTCAGGCTGTGCAAACCCAGCCCAGAGAGGTTGCCTTTAAACCCAGAGGAAAATATGGTTAGGGATCATTAACAGTTTGAAAGAGAAGTATATCCATAGACACAGGTAAGATTCACACAGTTAATGAGTCAAAAAATTATTAACATTGCCTGGGCTGTACACAGACATATAGTGAATAGTTTTCTCTTTGGCATCAGTTACCATTGAATTGTTTTCTCCTTCTTCCAGGTAGTGAAACAGTAATGAAAAAAAATGCATCTATCTTTCAGGAATATTGAACTTAAGTTATAATAACTTAGTTTTGATATGTTTAACATCAACTAAAATGATAATACTTCATAGATTCCTATCAAGACAAAGTTCCTAAAAGGGCAGGGGAGGGTGAAGTATATATTAGGGGTTGTTGATGAGGCATCTTAATGGAATCTGAGAAATAAAATAAAAATCTAGTCTGAAGGTGTACCTTTAACCAAAATTTCATTGCCATAGCAACAGAATGCACCTTGAAAGGGCTATATAGAAATATGCCAATAGTCTGTAAATGTCTACGGTAACAATGAGACAGTAGGAGGAAGTTCATATATGTTTTTTTGAAACCAGTAATTCCTGAGTGCCTGTGTCACTGATGTCATTGCATAAATACTCATGGTTTTGCACTGCATAGTGAGGTTAGTTGGCCTTGACTGACTTCTATGCCTTAAAAGGCCAGTAATAATGGTCTCATAGACTTCCATGGGACCCGAGTCATACGGGGAGGAAGTGAACTATGTGACCCAGCTGTAAGTAATTCTGGGCTGGCTGAGCCTCCAGATTATACTATTGTAGAAACATAGCATACAGAACATTCATTTAAGACTATGTATTAATACTACAAAATTAGTCATGTACTAACATAGTAAAATAAATGAGAATCCTATGTTGATGGTTCTGAGTGTTGTAGGTCAGAGCTCTGGAATGCTGGGGACAGTGTGTCAGTGTGGAACTGGTTGTTTGGAGTGTTGCCTAAAAGTATCCATGATTCACCTGGGAAGTTTATAAAACTGCAGTAGGTTTGGGATGGGGTTCAAGATTCTGTACACCTGTCTGGTTCTGACACAAAACTCCACAATGGGTTCTGCTGGATCACTGGTTATTCTTAAATCATCAAAGATGGTTTCTGAACTAGCAGGGAGCTAGAATGTTTTTAGTAGATTCTGCCACCTGTTCACCACATCACTTTAGGAAATGTCCTATCTTTGTGACACTGGGCTGTGACACTTAGAAGATGAAGGTCTTCTAAGGGACCATGGGGAGAAAGGAAAGCTCTGCTTCAGGAAAGTTTCACCTCATCCTGCCACACTGCCTGCGAAACCCTATTTCTCAACCACTGCCAGCTAGCTGAGAGCACTTGCTGTCTGCCTGACTTTTCATCCTCTTTCTTATGCCTGTGCGATTGTCCGGAGAGAACATAAAAGAGAGTCTGAGAGGCAATGGAGCTCTAATGTGTGTCATAGTGGGACTCTAATGTTTTGATGTTTTTGCTAACTTAAGTGTCATTTTTTAGTAGTTAAACACCAGAGATAGTTTTGTAAACCCATGAGCACACAGCTTCTTGCCTCTCTGAGTTCTAGTTAAAAAAAAAATCCATGATTTTGTTGAAGGGATATTACTAGTTCTCTCCAGGAACACACATCCCTATGTCCTATGAAATTCTTTCTTCCTCTTCTTTTAGAAAAATAAATTGAGAAAATTCGACTGTTCACTGAGAAAATTTTAATAGGTTAAACATCAGGTTTTCCTGATGTTGAACTAAGGCAGGGATTAGGAGGTTGGATGCAAATTCTTGTCTTGATGCCACCAGGCAGGAGAGAGAGGACAGGTACCCCTCTTGCAGAGGTTGAAAGCCATTCATTCCCTTCTCCCAGACAGAGCAGACCAGCAGACCCATCACTGCACTGCTTGGCATTTGATTCCACTGAATTACGGGCTCTGATAATCTGTCATGGCAACATGATTGCCTCTGATTGCCTCTCATAAATTCTGATGAGAAGGATGCAGGCACGGGAGTCACTGTCTTCTATCTTATTTCTTTCCTACAGGAAATCTCTGAGATAAATTTCCATTTCCTTGTGGCAAAATGGGGCATTCTGCAGGATTAGGGATTCACTTTGAAGGGAAAGGTTGCTTTGGGACACTTTATCCTTTGGCCACATTCCCTCTGTGTTTAATCATCTCAGCATTGTTGTTTAAGCCAACATTTTTCATCCCTTGCCATCTACTCTGCTAATGACCCTACTGGCTCTTTTACTAAAGGTGTATCAAACGGTAGGCTGTGTGGGTAACTAGTTGTTTAGGTCATTTACTTTAATGCATTCCATTCTATATTGTCTTTTGGATCTAACACTGTGTAAGTTATTTCTTTATGTGTTTATGTGTGTTCGTGTGTGTGTGTGTGTGTGTGTGTGTGTGTGTGTGTGTAGCCTAGAAGAAGTTGACACCTGGTGCCTTTTCCAATTATGCTTTATCTTATTTTTGAGATAAAGTCTCTTACTGAACCTGAAATTCATTAAGTTGGCTAGACTGGCTGGCCAACAAGACCCAGGGATCCTCTTGACCCGAATGTCCATTACTTGGAGTATTTGTGCATGCCTTGGGATCCAAATCCAGTTCCTCCTGCTTCTACAGCAACCATTTTACTGACTAAGCCACCTGAATAGAGCCTGCGTGTGTTATTTCTGAACATAACACTAGGAAGTTTTGTCTATCATATTGAAAAAAAAAAAAAAAAGGAAAGCTCAAGTAATTTCTCTTCCATTGGAACTTTCGGGGTCTAAGAAGCTGACACTCACTTCAGATGCCGCACTCCATCAGGGGTGGCTGGTACGTTGTACCTTCTCATGTACTCGTGCATCTCGGGGAAGCTCTGCCGCACATAGTCTTCAGCACTGCTCTCCCGGACAGTTCCAAAACGGAAGCCTTGAGAAGGATGATGAAGCTACCAGGGAGAAAAAGAAATGGCTCTAACATCCAGTACTTATTTAATCACTTGTTTAAAAGCTTTTAATTTCCCATTATGATGCAAAACTCAACAACTGAGCATATTTCAAGTAACTAGAGCACTAGCATGCACACAAAGCGTGCAGACACGTAGGTATGTGCTTGAGTGTACCCAAGCGTGTACATCAGTGGTCCTTCTAGCCTCACAAGGAAAGAGATGGGAATGAGAAGCTAAATACAAAACATTTTGTATTTATAAATCCAAAATATTTTGTATTTATATTGAGAACATATTGAGAACATAGTGGTTTTTTTTTCTTTTTTTTCAAGAAGGTTATGACACTTACATATTGGATTTTTATTTTAGTTTGTGTTTTTGGTAAGGGGTAGAGAGCCTCACAATCCATGATATGTCGAGGTCAGGAGACAACTTGTAGGAGTCACATCTCCTTCCGCTACGTGTGTCTTGGAAACTGAACTTAGTTCATCATGGTTTGTGGCAATCATCTTGATGGCACCCAAGTAGAATTCTTTAGGCAGTGTCCAAACTGACATGGAGAATCAACATCATAACAAAATGGCATATTTTTAAAATATATCTTTGTGATCACAAACCTCAGTGGTTAGAACTGTACAAAGACCAAGTTAAAAGTGCCCTGGGATGATATATACCTGGCCCAATGCAACGAGTACTTCATTTTCTGTTTACTAATCTTTGTTATACTCCATTTTAAGTGTGTTGAATTTATTTTTGGTGTTGTTATGAATCATTCTTTCTCCTTGAAGTTGTTGCAGTACACAGTGCTGAATCATGCTGTGCATTTTCTCAAATGGAATAGTGCCCTAGAAAGGCAGAAGGAAGGAGGGGAGAGCTGGGTCAGAGTTAGGTCTCCAGGATGCGCGACTTCCCAGCGAGAGGGGCAGTGTACTGAAAGCCCCACCGACACACCCATTAGTAGGAGAATGAAGATGCCACTTATGACATTTTACTAAGTGATGTTATAGGGAGAACCAGTATGGAATCAGAAACATGTATTGTGACAAATTGAAGAGCTGGGGTTGGGTCATATTATGGACACAATCACATATCTTTTGGTCAGCAGTATTTTAGAGATTACTCTTCTCCACAATTGTCCCACTGAGGTCTTTCAACTTCTGTGCTCTGCTTCGTATTGATATATGTTACATAACTGGTAATGATATGAAGCTCTGGAGATAGGTCTATGCATAGGCTTTATGCACGTTCTAAACCTCCTGAAATTTCAAGTAAATATGCATATTCAGTTGTCTTCTATGGAAGGAGACAACACAGAGTTCTTTTTAATAAAAATGATGAAGTTTTCAAATGTTTTACAGCCCACAAACTAAGAACTCTCTGAATTTAGAAACATTTGGTGTATTTAAAGATGAATTAATTTTTTAAAATTTTAATTTTCTTTATTAGTTACATTTTGTTAATTCTGTATCCCAGATGTATCCCACTCCCTCATTCTCTCCTCAATACCACCCTCCCTCCCTCATCTCCTCCCTGCCCCTTTCCAAGTCCACTGATAGGGGAGGACCTCCTCCCCTTTCATATGACTCCATTTTGTCAGGTATTTTCAGGACTGGCTGCAAAGTCCTCCTCTGTGGCCTAACAGTACTGCTCCTCCCTTGGGAGGTGGGGAGATCAAAGAGCCAGTCATTGAGTTCCTGTTAGAAATAGTCCTTGTTCCCCTTACTATGGGAAACCAATTGATTACTGAGCTATCACGGGTCACATCCAAGCAGAGGTTCTAGGTTTTATCCACTCATGGTCTTTGGTTGAGTGTCCATCTCAGAAAAGACCCTGTGCCCAGATATGTTTGGTCCTTGTGGAGCTCCTATTCTTTCCACATCAAACTCCCCTGAAGATGAATTAATTTTGATCCATTTTAAAAGTCTAATAAGGACAACAGATAAATTATCTCTATGTCACATCCTTATAGAATATTATAAAATGTGTAAATTTTGTTTACGAGATATATTTAACAAAACAGATTCTCTCACAGAAATGGAAAACATTTATGGGACTTGATCAAAATTACCAATGTGTAATACTTGATTAGATGCTATCGTTTCCCACAAATATAACTTATTTATTCAGGGTTTACTGACACCCTATTATGTGCAAGTTTCAAAGTCATACCTGCAACTTGAACTCTAATGACCGACTACTCACGCTGTTTCTACTCAGTATGTTTTTCATGCTGTTGAGTATGGCAATATGGCCTATCCTAGTGGTCAATAGAGTTAGCCCATGTACTGAACAAGTTCTTACATTTTCTGACAGCATAGCCTCAATGAGGCATAAACAGGAACAGCAGCTAGCCATGAGTGCTTCTGTTGTGCCAAACATGGAACTGAATACTTCACACCCCTTATTTTATTTAGTGCTCATGAGGGCTTTTTGGTCAAGAGGCACGGCACTTCCTTTCTTTAAATGACTAGGTGTGCTGAAGCTCAATGAAGGAATGCAGCCAGTATAAAATCACTCAGAGGGACTGGACGGGCATGGGTTAGAACCCAACTCTGTCTCAGTTAAAGGCTGATGCTGTTATTTGCCACCCCATCCTGGCTTTCAGCTCCTGTGAACAGCTGGATGAAGTGATCAGTAGAAGCAACTCATTAGCCTCCCTATCTCCTCCTTTTCTCTGTGTGCTCATGTACATGTATGTGTGTGCACAGGTGTGCATGCAGGCTGGAGGTCAATACTGAGCATCTTTCTTAATCACTCTTCATCTTATTGTTTGAGACAGAGACTCATTGTGCCTGCAGCCCATTTATGACTAGTTTGGATGGTCATCAAGCCCTTCAGACCCTCCTATCCTTGCATCCCTTTCATGAAAAAGAAAAACTCATGTCGATCTTCCTGATGTTTGTTTGGAGGATGTAAACCCAGCTCCTCCTGCTTATCTATCTTATAAGCAAACACTATCTCAGCTTTTTGCTACCGTTTCTTCATATTCTTTTGGCAATCCCAGGGCAATCCCCACACTAGTAATTTGCTTATGCCCTACAGCATAAGCAAAGATTTATAAGCCTTTTCTCTGTGTAACACCTGTTCTTGAGGCCTAAAGCAAGATTCCCTATGTGAAGCCATTGGTCTTATCTAGTTTCACTCTCCTACTTAGACTGATAAGAACAAAAATAACAATGAAATACTTGTCTACCTAAGCAAAGACAACGACTTATACATCTCAAATCCTTGGCCCATGTGCTTACTTGAACAATTTCCCCATGCTGATGCATCATCTTCTTTGACCCTCTCAGGAAACCTTTGAATTAGACATTTCTACTACCTTACTTTCACAGAAAAAGAAACTGAAGAGCAGAAAGTTTGTCATTTGCCCAAAGTGACTGCACCTGACCCCAGATGGCCTGATGAAAGTATTTAGCTCTTGATCACTGTGGAATGCCATTTCTCACGCATGTCATATAACTCTCCAGCTCAGGTCAGTACAAAATTTACTACGCGTGCATCAGGAATGATCCAAAGGCTTTAAACATTTTAAATAGCACCATATAACAAAGTAAATGTTATTTTCTTTGTTTTTTAGACTGAGACAAAGATAATGTGCAAATTTTCATTATTAGTAACTGACAAGATTTCTTCCTTTGGCTTTTAGATTTGGTTTAATTCACCTGTGCAATAGTTTACTGATCATGACACTGGCATCTGCAAGCACTCTGTAGTTGTTATTCAACATAATTTATTTGATCGCCATTCTCTAGTTTGTCTTCTTCCATTCACCTTTATTCATACTTATACTCTTACTCCAGCCATCACTCTGTAACTTATTGTCTAGGCTAGAATCATCTCCTTTCATAGTCCACAGTACTATTCATTACAGTGTCAGGTCCACAGATCTCTCCTTTCATATATCCTCATACATAGCACACAATCCAGTTTTGATTTTCAAGATAACGATATAATTATTTGATTAACATCTAGACTATCAGCTTTCCCTCAGAGCAGGAAACTATGTAAATCAGACTCCTGCGGTATTTTAATTACTCTTTGCCTCTGTAATGGTTCCCATCACAGTTTCTCAATAAAAAGACCTTGTGGTTGGCCAGTGGAAGGGATCAGGAGATAACAGTACATGCTGCCCAACCAACACTTCCTGAGTTTAGTTCCCATAACTCATGTAAAGGTAGAAGAAGTGATCCAGGTTCACAAAGCTGTTTTTTGATCTCTCTCTCTCTCTTTCTGTGTGTGTGTGTGTGTGTGTGTGTGTGTGTATACCTGAGAGGGGACAAGAGGGAGGAAGAGAGAGAGAGAGAGAGAGAGAGAGAGAGGGAGGGAAAGAAAAAGGAGAGATTGGCACATACATGTCCACATACACATGCACCACACACAAGCACACACAGCCATAAATAAAAATTAAAATCTCCACGTCTAAATAAAACATTTTTTAAGTGTATAGATTGCTAGTTGGTAACTATTCTTTGAACTCAGAGGGAGGTAAGAGCTTTGTCATCCCATTGCATACAAACCTACTACTCAGGCTTTCCAAGTGAGACTGGTTTTAATGTGAAAAAGCCATAGGATCATTTATTATATGTGAAAAGAACGTTTCTGAGCATGTGTTTCACATTGATCGCCATCACATTTCACTCCAGTAATGTCTTTATCTGCCATGGGCTGACTATAGGCAATTCTGCGGTTTTGAGGCCTCCTTTTCTCTGTTGACTGCTTCAGAGCATCATTCATTTCTAGGAATTAGGGATATGACCCAGGCTGGCCTACGGTGTTTTTCCTTCCCTTGACTATTTACTGCAGTTTTTCATTAGCACTTACATGAGCTTGATGGGAATCTGAGAAACTAGTAGATTTGAAGTTTTGAGACTGGAAAATTACTTCAAGTCTCAACAACCAGGCATCAGGGTAAAAAGCATGGCATTAAGCAGACTAACTTATATGTGTTTTGTAAACACATTTTCTTCTCCAGTTTAAGTAGCCACCATCCAACCCAT